AATTGGTGGCTGACTAAATACTTTTTTTCCCCACTGTATGTAGTTATATTCTTATTATTCTTTGCTAACTCTAACACTACAATGAATGTTATTTAATATTTTATGTACAGTAGTGTAGATAAATGTACGTATGTATTAATAAGGTTTGCCCCACTTCAGTTTGTGATTGTTTATATTTTGCATCTAGGTTCGTGAATACAATCGTCAATACTTGAGTCATCTGACAAGTCATTATTGATGTTATTATCTCTACCACAGCACATGTCCAAATGCACAGATTCCTCACCAGCTGGCAGTTAATGGTACTGGAGACCAGCTGAGCCCCCTGACAGCAGAGGATGAAGCCTGCCAGGTTTAGCAGGATACAGACCACTGACAGCAATACAAACAGATTTACCTGTGTGAGAGAAATTAGATGAAGAGAGGTAATGGTACAGAGCAAGATCAATACTAGTCAGTCCTGTTATTTGACAAACATAATATTAGCACTCAAATCTGGGTTCAATGAGATTTGTCAATGTTTTTTAGAGATGTCTCTTATGTTCACCAAGGCTGCATTCATTTTATCAAAAATACAGTAAAAACAGTAACGTTGTGAAATATTATTAGAATTCAACACCACTATTTTCCATGTATTATAAAATGTAATTTATTCCTGCGATGACAAAGCTGAATTTTCTTTTCAGTCTTCAGTACCACATGATCTTTCAGAAATCATTCTAATATGTGCTCAAGATACATTTTATTATTATAATTAAAAATATATATTAATAATGATTTCAAAAGAAGAGCATTTATTTAAAATAAAAATATTTTCTAACATTATAAATGTATTTTGCTCAATTTAATGCATCCTTGCTGAATTAAAAATATTCATTTCTATAAAAAAAAGAAAAATCTTACTGACCCCAAACTTTTGAACTGTTGTGTATATATAAATGGCAACAGGCAGAAGATGATGGTCAGCTTGAGACTTAATTAACAAGGTCTTAACTAAATGTCTGGTGGACACAGATCCTATTTAAAAGGTCATTTAAGGGCCAAACAACTGACCCTTTAACATACTGCAAGGACACGGATATGCAGAAGATTACACAGAAAACATATGTTCAGGACAATACAGGACTGATTTGGTGTAGTAAACATCATCTAACTATTTTCAAGTAAAAATAAACTCATCTGCTGATTAAAATAGAACCATTAGACTGCTGCCTCAAAGACCAGCAGTCTTAGATAGGCAAAACACACATACCAGCAGAAGCATTGGCCGTTTCCATGTGGTTAGTCCTATAATCCCAGAGAGGATGACCTGCAGAAAACAATCAGTCCGTTCAGCAAAGAGGCAAACACTCACAGACAGATTAACTGATAATGAACCCATTATTACCCATCAGATGGTGTACACTCTCAAAATGGCCTTCAACACTTTAAAATCCTGTTTTAATGACTCATCTCACTCAGTGTGTTGTCGGCTGAGCTGTCTGCAGCAGCCTCATTCAAATACAATTGTCCATTGCTCCCTCTCGTTTCCTCTAACCCTGCCACTTCCTGTCAATTACACCAGCTGATGGGTTCTTGTGTTCAGCTCTTTTTTTCCAGACATAACAATCTAAAGCATTTCAGTAAATTCTTAACTGTAAAATGTGCTGTGAGGTAACCTTTAAAAAGTAATTAAATTCATTGATTTTATTCAAATCAACAATATTCTGTAATCAACTTCACAATATCACATTGTGAATTTTTTTCACATCATTACTACATCTTTATTTCCATCTCTGTAAACTGTCACAATTATTTCAATGAGTTTTCAGTGTTTGATTTTCTTCATCAGTAATGGAGTTCTACTTCAAAAGTATAAATAAACATTAGATTTTGTTAACTAGCTGTTGTTTTGCACTTGGCGAGAGGTATGCATAGTATGGTAGCTTTACTTCTAAACAGTAACTCACTATAGAGTGTTAGGCAGTAAAAGAGATTCACACTTAGCCATGACTTCACTGACCAGTTCATTCAACTCCTGCCAACGACCACAAATATGAACCATATGTAAATGTGGGAAATAATATGATAAATTGCACTTTTTAGGATAACTTCGACCAAATTCAACCACAGCACTAAAGAAGTTTCTAAATATCTAGAAACTTAAGAAACTGGACAATCTTAAGATGTTTAAGGTATTAAAAGTTAAAACAATATAATTCGCTGTGGATAATAGCCAAATGCATCAATGCTAATGTAAACAAGCTTAAAAGTCTGGTGAATGTGCCAGGATCGAAATAATCATTAATGTCATATTGACTAATAAATCTGATAAAAGTAAAAATGGCATTGTCATTCATTGAAATCTGGTTACTAGATTGGATATTTAGACCATACTGTAAAAATGTATAACTGTTCACTGTAAAAATGTTAATCCTAAATATGTGCTTCATGTGGTAACATCTGAATTAACAGGTCAAATTCCAGTTAAATTATTATTTAACTAAATCAGCCATTATTTGACTAAATCAACCTAACTGCATTAGGCTACACCAGTAAAAAAATAATGGACCAAGCTGAAATATTTCCTTGGGGCAACAACTCCAAGGTACTTTTTAAAAGTGTAGCTAATAACCTGGCTAATAATTTACAACATATTGACAGACCAGTATGGTTTATCATAGTGCATTACTGGTAAACAACAGTGTCTGGTGTGCTCATATACTCTGAAATAGACCGAACTAAAAGTGCAGCACCACGTTTCTGTATCAGACTGCATTGGAAACACACTGGACCACAATAAAACTTCTCCTCTGTACCAGTTGGTTTGTTATGGACCGATCAAACGCTGACTAATACAGTGGCATACTGAAAAGCATGCATTTCAATACGAGTAGCATGCATATGTACCGTAAAATAACAGCATTAGCACCTCTGATTATGGCCAGTAATATAATACTCACAGAAGATCCGGCCCAAAACGGACAGGAGTTTCTAATAGGGGGCGAGTTGCTAAGGGACAGAGCCCCGAAAGAGAGCGCCACCATGGAGCAGCCGAGAACCAGCTGCAGCAAGCCGAGGGAGAGCAGCGGGCGAGCGGGCAGCAGCGCCGGGATGAGCCGCGTCTGCGATCCAGACATACGGGACGGAAGAGCGGACACACAGCGTCTGCGGCTTCTGTAAGATGCGTCTGCGAACTGATGGGCCAGAGCAGCCCCCGATAAACGACAGCAAGATCCAGGCAGAACTACGGGCAGAGACATTGGAGACCCACGAGCAGCCAAACAACAACAAAACACATTAAACGAGCACAGCGGCGCTCCCTCATGTTACTCTGTCTCTCTCACGGCGACGATTATTTCTTTAAACTGCCCGTTCCGCGTTACTTCCATGGTCCTGTCAAGGTAGTTCAGTGTTGGTTTTAAAATAACTAGGCTCTGTGACCTGCTGCTCGGATTTGGTTTCACATTTTGGGCAGAGCGAGCGGACAGGCGGGGGAGGGGTGCGTGGGAAGAGGAGGCCACACACACCCGCGCAGTGGGTCTCCCTCTCTGTTCCGCAAGCGTGAAGAAAGACACTATCAAGACGGTGAAATTATAATGTCCTCTTTTGTGGTGAACGCTTACCATGACGAAACATTCGTATAGCGTTGTCTTTAATGCGGACTTGCTAGGACCCAGGGGCGTAGCCATCATTTCAAAAGTGGGGGGGACGGAAT